AAGCACAAACATATGCAGTTTACAATAACCGGAGGATTTACACAAAGACAGCTTCTTGTTTCTAGTTGGTGATTTCGCCATTCTCAATGGCATAAGGATTCAGTGTGTTGTCCGCTGTGGCTTGCACAACAAGAAACAAAGCATCTCCGTAAACTTCTACAAAGATATTACAAAACTATTAAGTATCTCACCGAAGAAAACAAGATGCAACAAGATTACATTAACCATGACAACGTTGTGTGTAACCTTTCCCGTTCAGGTAATGTTTGTACATTTCCCGTTCAGGTTCCGAATGGACCGAAGCACTTTCTATCTGATAGTTACGCTGATAAATGTTTGACAATCATACTGGAAGAATGGAATTTATAGAGCTATATTTTTAAAGGATATAATTCAAATATCTCCTCATTTATCCAGATGTCAGGATAGGGTTGTTCTATTGATGATGAAATTGATGGAATTACTTTTGTTATCATAGCGCTTCGTCAGATTTTCATTAGAAAATGTAACCAGATCCGAAGGAGAGAATACTGGATGCCATCACACTTTTGCAAATTCTCTGTGGAGCTGCTGAGAAGACTTTTCTAAAAACCGTGGAGGTGGAAATAAACTCCTGTTTATGGCTAACAGAGGCAGCAAAGTTAAATACTGACTCAGTACATGTTAAATCTTAAATTGTGTGGTTTTATCTGCAGAATATTATTTGGAATGATAATAAAAACAAACAAGAGTTTGACCATAGAAGATGGCAACATTTTCAGAGCTCTTCAAGCGGCTTTATGAGTTTTGCCCTAGCTCCTTAATCATCTCCTTCCTCTCCTCCTTCTTCTTGGCATTGGGAAGCCAAAAGAGGAGACGTCTAATTGGAGGAACACCTACTTCTGTGGCAGAGTGCTACACTGCGGCTGAACCCGACTCATGTGCTCTTCACACTAGCAGCTAAAGGAAAAGTCATAGGCGAGAGGACACTATTAAGTGGGCAACGTGCTTTTATTTATTTTTTAAACTTAGAAATAGCCAACTAAGGCTTCATTATATCCCGAACTTTGGCACAGACGCAGGTTTCTACCCTATATGATGTGACCGCTGCGACCTCCCCCCTCACCGCCGGAGCTTCTCCTCTCTTACACTCCCACTTATTTTCCAGCAGCCGTCTTTCTACTTCCATCACACTCCTAATGAGGGTTCATCCCGCTGAAGTGCGCGCGCTCGCTACAGGGTGTTAAGATGTCGAAACCCACCAGCTGAGCCCCTGCACGACCTCTGACTCGGCTCGTCTGGTCTCTCGCTCTCCACGCGCCTCCCCTCCTTTCTCTCCGAATGGATTGTTTGCTCGTCCATCAGACTGTTGGCGACTGCCGTCGCTGCCGATCACCGTCATGACTTCCCTCGCGTGTCGACTCCTCCTCACCTTAATGAGACCCGTGGCGAAAACAACAAGATGGAACCACATGGGGGAGGAGGGGGCGGGTGTAGTGCAGAAGTGCTCGTGGAGGAAAAGGGAGCAGAGAGTCGAGAGAGGCAGAGAGATAGAGCAACGGGGCAATTATCCCTGACTCCGGCCATCCGGCGCGTAACGAATGATCCATATCTTCCACCACTGTGGAAATAATCACACCGAGCTACGATCCCTCTTCACCCAGATGTGCAAAAACACTATCGGGGAGAGTAATGCTTTAAGCACTATTAATGCCATCTTTTATTCTTATATAATATGTTATTGCTTTGTGCCAAAACAGGTGTCTTAACTGTCACAGAACCCCTTTGAATGAGATTACGAGAGGAGCTGTGGGGGCGAGGGGGTTGAGAGGGAAAGAGAAACTAGGCCTGGTATATTAAAAGGGAGAGGGCGAGAGGGGAGAGCGTTATCTGAGCTGAGCTTGAAGGAATAGGGGAAAAGGAGACATAAGAGAACAAGTAATGCCTACGGCAGCTTTCCCTTTTCCGTGCAGCTTTTTGATTTATTGGACTGAAATCCGTGCGTGAACCTGGAGTCCATCGGGGTCGAGGGGTTTTCGGACATGAGCTTCCTCAGACACAATTAGTTTTCAGAGGAAAACCAGACGCACTTGTACTCCGAGTCCCTCACAGTGGCCTACAGGAGATGGAATGATCAGGACAACTCGTGTAGATGCACCTACACACTGTGTGATTACAACTATCTCACAAATCCAGTGTATGTCACATTATGAGATGGGGGAAAAAAAAAAAAGCTAACTGGAGCCAGTGTGTGCGCCAGAAATAGATCTGTGGTGTTGTGTCCCAGTTGTCCACTCCGGCCTGTGAGAGCCACCTGGCTACCACATCAATTAGCATCACGTCTGGCTAGAAAGACACAGCGGCTAACCATCATATCTCTTTCAATACCATCCCGGTCGAATTGATCGATGGGTCCGACAGAGCTGGCTAACCAGAGGAAAGCTAACTAGTCATGTGGTCAATGACAATTTATGGAAAGTTAAAGTTACACATCGTCTTGAGCGCTTGCCTCCGGTTGGCTGACTACTTAAATTAGACCATCTGTCAATCACGTACGCATCAAATGACTAATTAAAGCAAAACTAATCAATTTAACCATGAACATTCATCAGCATGTTCAAAACTGCATAAATCAACAGAAATCATCTTAGAGAAAAATGTCTTCAATGTGAACTTTGACATTTTTTTTATTGTGGCACATGTGGCGGGGGCGGGCTTTACGACCTGTACTGCAGCCAGCCTGCAGATGTTTTTGGGAGGTGTGAAGCCCCCCTACTCGATACGCACAGTCCTCGGCCGGTAACCTTAATCAGACGGTCAGATTTTGAGTCCAGTGGTGCAGAAGTAGCAGAAGCCCCTGGGTATGTGAATGGACACGGCTCTACAGCTATTGATAACTAGCTTAGTGAAGGGAGAAGCGGGTTGAGGGCGAGGCGTTTGTGGTCGGAAGTTTTACCACACAACATCAACTTTATCTGGGCCAGCCCCCCAAAAAACGCAGCATTGTGATGAGGGACCTTGGTAATAGTTGCTTGCAAAGGTGAAAACAGCCGTAGACAGAAGATGTGTTGCCCTTTGAGCTGCTATGGTGAGACTTTTAGTCTCGATGACATGAAGATGACAGAAAAGCTCTCGGGTTGAAGGAGTGAGGCGCAACAAAAGCTGAAGAGAAAAGATATTGTATTGTACGTTGAGCAAAAGGGAGAGACGGGAAGAGGAAAAAGAACGGAGAGTGGAGTCAGCCAGGTTTGCAGATGGCTTTCGCAGGAGGTTTTCTTTCACAGCCTCTTCTTTCTCAAATCCAACCTAGCTCACGAGGCAACGCACAGCCTCTAACAAATGGGAGACACACACACACACACACACACACACACACGCCAACGAGCCCATGCTGTTGGAGCACCTACACAGGCTGGAATATACAGAAACTCCTCTCTACGTTCTGTCCTTCACGCTTCACATTTCGCTGAAACAAATGATGATGTCGTGCTTTTGTACTTTTACACAGTATTCTAACACAGAGCAAACATTTCATTGTTAGTAATAGTTCAGGTGATGCCGTGCATTGACGCAAATCTCCAAATGATAGTTCTGTCATGTGCAGTTGGAGGTCTGCGTTGATCCGTCTTCTTCCCTGAATCCCCTCTTACACTCGGCAGCGAGGCCTCTGCGTGTTCACAGGAGAGAGACTCACGCTGTTAAGTATTCAGGGACAGCGAGAGTGTTTCGTGACCACAGTGGGCCAAAAACACCCGGACCGGAAAACTTCCAACGAGGACAAACTTTATATGGACGCCTCTCTGAGCAGCGTGAGTGCAGCTCGCCCGTCTATACCAGAAGAAGTGTGCGCGAGCGCGATTGCGATGCAGCAGAGGGAGTCATCTCTGTGGCTGCGTTGCCCTCCTGCAGCCTCCTCAGCCAGGAGAGCAGCTGATCTCCAGCTCTGTGCGGAAGAATGTTTGAACCCCAAAACAAGTCAACAAATATTTCCACTTTGCGTTGACCTGAAACGTAATGTAAATATTCTCCTATGCAAATAAACCCTAAAAAACAGGGAGGCTGCATGGAGCTTACTAAAGATTCCCCTTTAATATCATGAGGCAAGTGGCAGCAGCTTGAGGGAACGAAGCAATAAGTAAAACATTTACATAAATTCAAATGGTAATGTATTCGGCATCGGGCAACGACTTCCCGTATAACAGAGGGAACATATTTCGGGGGGGTGGGGGGTATTGTCTTTTTGAGGAGAGCAAAGTAGAAGGAATTTGCAAATGTGTGTGCAGACACTAGAGTAATGAACAAATATTAGCCGCAATGTTTTGAGATTGAAAATGAAGATAAACTATTTGGATCTCTGGAGCCCGACTGTGTGTCGGCGCTCGCGCACACACGCGCACACTACTGCTGAGCCCCCAATTCATTTATGAAGTCTCATACAGGCGTTCTGTGGCAACACAAAAGGAATTTATCATACAAAAATCGCCCTGTCAATTAATTCAACATTTCTTGTTGTTGTTTTTTTCAAACAACGGCCACCAACGACGATATTGGCACATGAGACCAGCTTGAATTTGTTTTCCACAATATGGAGAACCCACACAAACAGACACACACACACACACACACACACACACACACACACACGCCAGGTTTTCCTCCCTGCTGCATTCAGCCCAACCGCGGAGCATGATGACAAACATCTTTATAATTAAATGGACGAGTGGGGTCACAACTCCTAACGGGTCCACTGGCTTGATATGAAAAGTAAATGGTCTCTCCTCTGGGTGACTTCACAGAGAGAATTGCCACGTTTCCACGTTTATAACTGTTATTAAAGAGGAAGATTATTTATCTTTTAAGTGCCGTAATGTTGAGAGAGCTAAAGTGTAATGTCTCCCACTCCATCCCGGCCTTCGCTGAATCTTCACCGGAGCTAATGACTGCAGGGTGACTGAAGGCGCGCGCACACACACACACACGCACACACACATCTACGCAGTGAAAATAAGAGGTTACATTACCTTTCCAAAGCTTCCTTTCCCGATGGCCCGTAATATCTGGAAGTGGTCGAAGGTCACTGTGAAGAGAGAGGGGAATCCGTCAGTGTGGACTCAGGCGTGCAGTGCGATCGTTACGTATTAGCATGTGACGCTAGCTGTTATGCTACGTATTGGATTTGGATTAGACTGGACAGAGACAGTCTGCCCAAAAATATGTATTTTAGTCTGGACCAAAGGTGGTCAACCAAGTGGCAGAGCCATCCTTAGAACGCTACACCGTTAAATCAACGCATGGAGTATATTAGGATTAGAAGGAGCGCGCTACATTTTAGGCAGTTTTAATACGGAAAATACAAGATTTCATATGTACACACACACACACACACACACAATAAGCCAGAACCAGGCGGAACACTTAATATATATAAATAATGTGTCTGTTTTTGAGGAGAGATAACTAAGATTGAGTCTTTAGTCAATCTTAATTCACTGTGTGCTATTGAGTGTGTAGTTTATAGGGAATTAAGTGAATGATTCTGACAAGGCAAAGAGTAAAAAGCTACAGTGACGTAGCTGAGTGACGCCAGTGGCGACAGTTGGGGAACTTAAGCTTTCACTTACGTTATGATTAAAGTTGCAGCGGTTGATGGGTGTTTTCTAATAAAAGCTTTCGGGTTTTTTTTGCATTGGTACCGATTTCAGCCAGAGAAATGAGTCACCATGTTACTATGTGCTGCACGTACAATTGTGGGCTGATGAGCTGCCACCGACCGACCTCCCCCTGGTTCCCTGCGTTACTGATTGAGACTCGCCTCTGCTCTGTGTGCGTGTGCCACAGGCAGATGTTGGCACAGCGTGCCCCTTGCTAGCTCACGCAGCTCCTCTTTAAAAGCCATTCAGCTGGTGAAGCTCGCATCCCGATGCGCTCGGCCCCCTGTCCGCGCAGACAAGGAGCGATCATGAGTGGCGACGCCGCACGCTGGGCTCCTGCAGGCAGACCCACTGCCGGCTAACCTGTACGCACCCCCGGGCCCAGGGAGGCGGTTACTTCCCCATCCCCTCCCCGCAGTATTTTTGAAGAGACAAAAAGAAACAAGGTAGGCATAGTTAGTGAGGTTTGTGTCTGAAGCTAATCCAGCAGAGATTTTCCCCGCTCAGTCTCGTGTACATGGCTAATCCTCTCGCATGGCACGGCTCCGGCCGACGCACGGAGACGCCGCGCCTGTGAACACGGATTCCACGACGAGTGATGGAAAAACAATTGTGCGGGCTTGTTGTTTGCGAGAAGAGGCGGACGGACCGGCAGCGTGTTTGAACAAAGTCAGCTGTAACAAGATCTGGCAACTCCGCTGCTGATGCCCCGGATCTGATCCAGGGTTGACAGGACCTGATCTATCAAAATCCCTCAAGATCAATCAGCCTGTGGACACAACCAATATCATCGGCAGCTCCTGCGAATCGGAGGAGAAACGCTAGATCTGTCATAAAAAATAAAAAAAATAAACACTGTGGTGTCAATTACATTTTTAATTTAACCAATTCTGTGTGTGAAACACAACAGAGGGGATTTGACTCGCAGCCGTGTGCTCTAAAAGTCAACAGACTCTGGAACATGATTCCTACTCGACAGAGAGCACCATTAACCAACTCAACGCGTTTATCTTTTGCAGACATCGATTGTCCTCAATATCACCGTTTTGAAGTAAGTATGAGTCATCAACAATCCCCCCCCTTTATTTTGCACGGTGACATGAGCGGCTCTCCAGAGCAGACGCAGTGTTTCCTCTTAAACGCCGCATCAGGTCTGTTTTCCATCGACTCAAATCACGCCGCGGGTTAGAGAGCAGCACAAACAGCCCCCCGTTGAAGGTAATGTTTGTTTTTCTGTCGGTACTCGCGTGCTCTATCAAACACGTCCCCCGTGTTTCACCGCTCGCCAACATTTCACAGCATGTCTTCTGCCGTCAACAAGCGTTTTGTTATCAAATGCTCAATAAACACTGCCGATGCGATCTACGCCGTTTCAACCAGCAAGTGCGTGGTGGGACGGGATGGCGGTCCGCGCTGTACTCGGTGTGTTGGCTTCATCGGCAGCTCTCGGGTTGCGGTGGATGCCGCCCAAAAAGACAACAGCCAAACCCTTCACAAGAGAGCAGCGCTGAGTGTGAGGGGAAGGAGATCTGCCGTGGCGACCGTGGGAGAAAGACATCTTTACCTCCACGGGGGCTGGGAGCTGCTGACACACCAGGAGGAGACGCTGAGCGGGCGCCACTGGGGGCCCCGGCTGGGGGGGACGGGCTCTCAGAGGAGGGGGGGCATTGAAAGCGTGAGTCTGAGTGGGGGTCTGAGAGTGGGTGCGTTCATGCACTTAGAACCTCTCATAGAAAGGCACATTCGGGCCCCCACTACAATGTCACTTTACTAAGAGACGTCTTAACAAGCCTACAGCTTATTATGTTATTGTCACCAGGGTCAAATATCTATACGAACTTCCTTTCTGCAAAATCCTCACGTTTGGCGAGCACGAAATCTCCAAATACTACACATGTGCATCGGCCACTATTGCTATGGAGAAGTAGCGAGAGTATCTTCAAAATACTTGATGGTGGAGGTAAAAAAAATAATCAAAAAGGAGGTTATGGCCCCTCACGAGATATTCATACACACACTGCATTATGTCAATATTTCAGTGTCTGCATAGTGCACCAAGAGCCTGAGAGACCGCTCAGAGGCACAGTGCTGTGCAGGAGCAGGATAAACTTACAATGAACTATTACTGTTCATTATTGAAATGAATGTAGGACAGAAACGTTGATAAAATGGCTCCTTGTATCAGCACCACTTTTATTACAGCGACGACCTGTGTCCCCGGTAGCGGTATATCGGGCGGTACTTTACACAGCCTATTAATTCTATTGCGATGGCAAAGATAAGAAGAGCTAAGATATGATATGACGAGTCAGGACAAGTCAAGTCAAGATAAGATGAATAACTACAAGGGCAATAGTACAACAAAAACAGAAACTATAAAGAGCAAGTTAGGAGGTAAAGTTGTGGTGAACAGCATGAAAAGTAATGATCATATATTTAATATTGTATATTATGTAGTAAAGCGGTAAAACATAACAAAATATAACATTACCGAGTACATGGACACAATATAAGAACTGGAATAAGGCAACAACAACACAATTATTTATAATGTGGAAGATGAAAGAACAGAGGCGGAGGACACCTTCAAGATCACTAGGAATGCATTATGCATCGAGATCATTAACCCTGCTAATTATACCCTGGGAAATACTGAATAGCAAAGGGCTCTGGAGACACGGCCCTTCAAAGCAATTCTCCTCGACACAATGGCTTTTTAGAAAGGGAGACTAAACAAATGTTCAGCTCACGGTCCACAGACACGTATGCGATCAATCCTTCAAAGATGAAAAGAGAGCGCGGCGTTACAAGAAAGTCATTAATAGTAACAAAGAGACTGCAATTAACCACCGGGGCCACACACGGAGCCAGGACATGTTGACACACACACACACCACACACAGGATAATGCCAATATATGGATGAAAACAAACAGGGATCTTGAGTGTGGCGGAAAGTTTCTATAGTAATATTTGGGCCTTAATTATGAATCCTAAGAAGTATTCTCATGGGACTGTGTGAGGAGAGGAGGAGCGGACATTAATCGAGGCCGCAGATGTTTTTAATCCTGGAATTGTGAGGAGGGTGGAGATCCTTCCGTTTTACCCCCAAAACATCAACCGCTGACGTCATCTGGCGGAGGAAATAACCGCACTTCAATTGGGGTTTTATTCAACCCCCTCCGAGAGCAGCGAGTGTTGACTCGTTCCACGGAAAATCATACTGATGATACGGACTGATGCTGTCCGTCGAGCGGTGAAGATAGGCAAAGCACTATCCCAATCAGTGTGTGTGTGTGTGTGTAACCCGATACCTTCGAGGTCAGTTGAGCTTTAGCACATTGATCTACACACCTCATAAGATGGAGCCATAGCTTGACAGCTCCCTTCATGTTACGAGGTTTGTGTTGAGTGGGCGCGTTCGGGAAATAAATTGGCGTTCTGTGAGAGCAACGTGTAAAAAACATGTTCATTTAAAAAAACAGATGACCGATCCACTCACACCTTCCTGTCCTGCCTCGATTTATTAGGGGGAAGTCATTTGAGTAGTGGCCAACACAAAAAACGCCTATTTTATTTTATTTTATACTAAAAATACTCTGTGGATACAGATTCAGACTGCAAATATAAACAGCTCCATTAATGATACATTAAGAGACATTAACATACAAGACATAAAGTTTTAAACACAGAATTCAATTGGCTCTGGTTTAAGAGTTGGTGGCTCTCCAGATCCCGCCGAGAATCAGTTTACTTAGAATCCTATAAAAATGCACCGTCATGGGGTGATTAAAGAACGGTAAACTAAATAAAGCTGCAGAGAACTTGGGTTTTATAGTGGAGACACATAAGACACTAAGTAGTACGCCAGTTACATATTGTCCAACAGATACACAAATACAATACATGCTACATTATTTCTGCCAGTTATTACTAACTTACTCCAAAGGCTGCTTGTCTCGACCCGGCTGGACCTGTGATAAGTGTCCCATTGCTACCGCTGGAATCTAATACAAACAATATTAAACCCACTAATAATGTTAATGTAGCTTCATTTTACATGAGACTGCATGAATTCATTGACGTGCCCAAAAATAAAAAAAATAATAAAAAAACTCTACTATATCTGCCCATCATAGCCGGTAACAAATTAATCATTGTTTCAAACTCGGCAAAACCAATCTGATCATTTCTGAATACTTCAGTGAGGCGCAATCCTTTCCAAATGTAAAGCGGTTTGATGCGGCGCACAGAAGAGGTGGACTGTTAACGGTGAGTCCATCCGGAGCGGCGCCCCCCCCGGCCCTCCAATCACGCTGAGCGAATGCGCCCTGTGTGGCCGAGCCCGTTGGACCGGGATCAAAAAGCCTCCCAGCATCGATCCCTTCCTGCTCCGTCTTTGGAGAATACTCCTCTGCTTCCAGTCC